CGTACCTATTGCATCGAGTGATTTTCTGAGTTTAATTGGATTTTATATGAATATGCCTTCCATGCTGCTTAGCATATAGAAAACAAAACAACAAAAATCATTATTTTAAATTCTTTTAAAGTGGAATCAGTTTGGAGTATAGTGCTAGATGTTGAGAGTAACAGTGATATAACCAATTCACCACTGGTGCAATCAATAACTTATAAATATGTATAACAAAAGACATAGAAACCCATCAATTCTAACATATTATAGAAGTTTCTGTTATATTTTTTCAAAGCACCTGATTGGGTTCTACCTCTTTAAGGAATTCTCTTAACCTGTAAAGAAGAGTATAGGAAAACTTCCCAGGGACTATAAAGAATTTTGAGAATTAACATTTTAAATCATTTCATTTTGCCCTAAAAAAGCATGCAGATTTGATTAGAGCTCATTAAAGCTTGCACTTACTCAAAATCTTCTTCTGATTCTTTTAATTATTATTAAAGACCTAAAAGAAAATGAGAATAAACCTAGTATAAATCAGAAACAAAGAATTTTAAAATTTATGAGAGCAATTTTATGAGTCTATTTTGCTTTTTAGAATAGCTGGTCAAAATGGAAAAATACAAGGCCAACTTTTTGAATTGTCAGCCATCCAAATGATAACATCAGAATGACATTATCCAAATGTCTTTCAGGCAGGTGAATGATTGGATTGTATATATGGTACTAATTGATGGAATGCCATTCTCTGGGCCTATACTTAGTAACACAGAAATCAGGAGTAATGTAGTTATCTGTCCTTATCTGCCTGAATCACTGAATGTGGAAAACAGTCAATCCAGACTCTAGATCCTTTACAGATTCTGTGATATAAGGTATCTGAATAGAATGACTAACAAAAGCATCAGCAGTCTTGGTTGATCTGTAAACAGCAGCAGCAATGGTGGCAGTAGCAACAACAGCTGGTCTCATTAGTGGGACTTTTGAGGTGCTCCAGACTGGAGATCATTGAGATAGCAGGGCTAGCAGGAATAGAAGAGGGATTAGTGAAGCTGAAATGCCGTAACTACCACAGAGAAGTTATGTTATCCAAGTATCTTAAGCACTTAATAGATTTATAAAATTTATGTATTTGTGTCTTTAGTTATAAAAAGGATTATCATCATTGTTATTTTTATACTTTGGTTTTTTAATGCTTTTAATCATAATGTTCTTCAGATGTAGTACTATGTTATTTTGTCCACCTACAAATAATGTATATGTCATCATTTTTGGGTAAATGTTCAACTGGAAAGGCTAAAGGCATATTCCACCCCACTCTACAAGGAGCACAGGGAATCACTTTACCTCTTACTTGGCCCTCAAGTAACCACATCTCTCCCTGTCTGTATTAATAACTTCTGCTGAAGTGAGTTTAGAAAGGAATAAACCATCAGCAACTGGTTAATGCTGTAAGTTTGTCCAAAAGCATGTTCCCTAAAGCACAGTAGGTACAGTGTGTTCATTTAGTCAGGAGAGGTTCTGCTCTGCTGTGGTAACAAATAAAGGAAATAGCTTAACATAACATGTTTCCTCCACTCATACAAAGTCTCTTGTGGGTCTGAGTAACTTTCCAGGGTAGCTGTGATTCAGTAATCTAACATGATTCAATTTCATCGTGCCACCATTTCAACATAAGTCCTCTTCTTTTGCTACAGAAAAGACTTCAGAAAGACCAAATAATTTCTTAGGAATATTTCACTGCTTCAGCCCAGATGTGGTACACATCACTTCTGCTCATATTTCTTTGGCTAGAATTAGTCAAATGAATTCACATGACTGCCAAGGAGCTGGAAAGCATAGTCTCCCATATGCCCAGGAATGAATATTGATGATATGATATTGAGGGAATATTGATGAGTACTGTCTCCCACAGTATGCAAGATAATTTTAGGTGATGCAGAAATAAACTGTTAACAATTGTTTGGTTTTTGCATGTATTTGAAAAATACAAGGAGGGCATCAAGCCTATGAGATAATGGTTTCATTTTATATAAATTTAATTGCAGACACTAATCATTATGTTAAAAATGGTGAATGTGGCAAATAGATGTCTAATATTTTGGGTAACCCTGGCCTAAAGGAAGATCTGTTAAACAGAAATTTTAGCACGTGAAATTTCAGGCAAACTGGGAACATGAGGTGGGGCGTAGCAAGCTGTTCTGTAACAAGCACCTGACATTGATTCAGCAGCAGACAGTATGGGACTGCCTCCTGGGAAGGCTAGCTCTAGAAGCTAGTTGATTTTCTGCTGTTGAAATTGAAGAACCAGTGATGGAAACAATCATGGGGGAGACTGGAACTCTGATGAGTACCTAATTTTCTTTTTTTCCTTTTTCTACCAGACTGAGATTGCTCTTCATACAATAATGTAAGGCTAGCAAGAATGAGAGATTTGGGAATAAAACCCTTGACCTGGCAAGCAATACCTTCATAATTGGCAGTTATCTTCTCACCTGGTTTTCCCTGCTGTCTGACATTGTTTAAACTGCCAGCCTCGATCCTCTTAAATCAAATACAGTAGTATCACCTGGTATTGTTGGCAACACCAAAGCTTTTCAGTCCACTAAAGCTCTTCCCTCACTGTTGGTGGTAAGTCAGCTTTTTAAAAAATTTTCTATTTCTGTGTTTTCCAAGAGTATCTAGAAATAATTCCCAAGGGTTCAGATCTTGATGTTGTCATTTGTCTGTGCTATTATTGATTTTCATGTAATTATTTTTTTTTTTTTTTTTTTTTGAGACGGGGTTTCGCTCTTGTTACCCAGGCTGGAGTGCAATGGCGTGATCTTGGCTTACCGTAACCTCCGCCTCCTGGGTTCAGGCAATTCTCCTGCCTCGGCCTCCCTAGTAGCTGGGATTACAGGCACGTGCCACCATGCCCAGCTAATTTTTTGTAGTTTTAGTAGAGACGGGGTTTCACCATGTTGACCAGGATGGTCTCGATCTCTTGACCTCGTGATCCACCCGCCTCGGCCTCCCAAAGTGCTGGGATTACAGGCTTGAGCCACCGCGCCCGGCATTTTCATGTAATTATTAATAGAAGCCTCTTTTATTCTCAAAAAATGTCTTGTTTAGATGATGAATTATGTGGTGACTATGCTTCTGAGGATTCTTCTTGTTTTATTTTATGATATAAGTGACTAATCTTGTCCCAAAGACTCTTTATTCCAATGCTAATGCCACATGGGGGAAACTGAGGCTATGGATAGTTCTGGATGTTTAGTTTTCTCAGTAGTCATTTTTTGGCATCATCTACATATTTTCTGTAGGATAAAGATAAAAATAGAAGGACATACAGAGGAGTTAAAAGAAATAAGTAAGGACAGTGACGACTGGCATATAAGCCAAAGCACATTTTGAGGAATCTAAAGAATCTATTATTCTGGCACTTACGTCTAAATTGCTCCAATCTAATCTTAAGGATGACACTTAAAACCGAAGGCAAATCTTGGCATTCATAACATTTATTCTCTTTTTATTTCTTTTTTCTTTTTTTTGCGCATAACATTTATTATCTTGTCAATATTTTAGAGGTGTGTATTTTGTGTACTAATGAAATATTGTAAGGTCTCACGTCTCATTCTATAGTAGAGTTAGGACAGGCACTGTGCAATCTTAAGTTGAATTTCAGTTATGTGAGAGTAGCCATGAATTTCAATAAGTACCACATTTAGTTTTCCTATAATCCCACTATTAGATAACACATATAAAAGCTGCTATTTATTTTGTCATTTACTTCCATCCTAGAAGAAAGCAAAAGACTTTTGAAAGTACAGTATATCACATGTAGAGCAACCTTTAGGTCTGTAGCTCATCAGACTGGTTTTTAAAATATGCAGTCATCCCAGGTTAAAAGTCTCTAAATACTTCATGTTGTTTTACTGTTAAATAACGTTTAGAGTTTGCTATCTTTTGTAGACTTTGGAAATCTAATTATTTATAACATCCAGTGACATTTACATTTTGCTAAAAATACTTTGCTTGTACAAGAACATATCATGATTAAAAAATGGGTAGAGAATGCCTAGCTGTACATTTGTTTCTATATAATGCAAAATATCAGGGTGACCTATGTTATCTTTTTGTTATAGCTTCATGATTTTAAACCATAATTCTCAAAAAGTGTTCTTAACTATTAGCATTTAAAATACAGAATAAGAAATCATAGTTGAGATCATTGTTTACCACTTAATTCTCCACTATGAAACCAAATGTCTATTCAAGTTTATCGGTATCTTAACATAATACCATTCATTTCCATGCCAACAGCTCCAGAGTGTTTGGCTTGGTTTTTGAGATTGATTGAAGGTAGATTGTAAAGTTGAGCTATTGTGTTAAGCTTATTTACACAAACACAGTGTCTTGGAAAATAAACTCTGAATCTTAAGATATTTCACATCCTAAGTTTCTAATACCTGCTTTACAGAAATCCCTTGGGTGGTGAATCTCAACTTTACCTGTTCCGTTACCTGGGAGAAAATTACTTCCACATTCTTAAATTTGAAGTAAAATTTAGAAATTGCTTAGGAAAAAAGATTTGCTTTTAATTTCATTTGACGAATTTGCTTAAGTAAATAATTTATGAGACACTCATGGGTGAACTTTTTTTTCAGGCTCTTGAAACACACTTTTCTTAAAAGAGTTTAAAAATAACGTTCCTAAGATATAAACAATACAAAAAAGACTTAATTGTAAAAAAAATCTATATGACAACAGTGAAAAACTGAATTTGCATCCTGGATGGCTACAAATAGATTATTTTAAAAAGAAGTTGCTTTTATCTTGGAGAGAGTTTAAAAGCGCTTTCTGACACCACATCCTTGTCTGTCACCTAGTCTTAAATAATCAGCCTGTTATATATCATCACCCCTCCCAGTCTTCCCATTTCCCCCATCAAAATGTGGACTTCTCTCCTGTCGCTGAGTAACGTGGGGCCTATTATGACTGCCAGGGAGGATGGGCGCGGGGCACGTGGACCAGAAATACTTCCTATAAACAGCAAGTACGCTGCTCAACCCTGCCTGAACTTTCCTGTAAACAGCCACTGACAGACTGCATCCCTGCTGGGTGGATCCTGCGACTCCTAGAGGGAATGGCACTTCTTGCTTTTAATTAGCAAGGTGAAAGGTGAATTAAAACTAGCAATTTGGCAAGTCAGTGCAAGAGGCTGACTTCTGAGAGGCTTTCAGGAGCCCGAAGAGAGGAGCTCCACGGGAGGAGGGAGTGCGTGTGCTCGGGCTTATTTTTTTTTTTTTCCTGAATGAACAGCTTTGCCTAAGTGACTGAAAAACAGCTTCTTCCTGAATCTACCGGCTTAGTTGCTGAAGAGAGCTCTAGACAGGACATGGCTCTGAAGACTCACTCTTTGGAATGTCCTCTTGCTCCCGGCTTATAAACAACTGTCCTGAGGAAAGAAAGGTTTTACATAACCAAATACAGCCTGACAAATGGCACTTCGGAACTGTGCGTTTTGATGACAACGCGTTCGATTTCTGACAAAGCCTCTCGCACGCTGCCCCTGGAGGGAAGTCCTAAGTAAAACTCAGACCCTCCTTAAAGTGAGGAGCGAGGGCTTGAACGGTGAACACGGCAGCATGGCATCCGCGGGGCACATTATCACCTTGCTCCTGTGGGGTTACTTACTGGAGCTTTGGACAGGAGGTCACACAGCTGATACTACCCACCCCCGGTTACGCCTGTCACATAAAGGTAGGTTACCTTTCCAGATCCTTTTGTTTAAAAAAAAAAAGAAAAAAGAAAGAAAAAGTAGCTTAACATAGGCTTATGGTCTTCAAAGACCTCTAAAATGCACCTGAAAAAATGTATTGCAAAACTGACGTAAAATTCTAAGTATTTCTGATTAATATGTCATATTCACCTCATCTGAAAACAGTGAAAATCACAAGTCAACTTCGAGATGTTATCTTTGCCTGTAAATACTGGATTTTATTAATGAGGAGTTCACTCACTGGCAGCCTGAACACAGGAAGGGAGGAAGCAGGTTGTAAATAGCCTTGGGAGGCTGAGTCCACCAAGTTAACAGTAGGTATTTAAATACCAGCTTATGCATATGAGAAACAAGGATGCTGGGGAAGCGCTATAGAAATAGGGGTGCAATTTGTTCTTTTTGTTTTTGTTTTGTTTTGTTTCCATCATGGAGGTAAAAGGAGGAGAAAAGAAAATTCCTGAGGAGAAAAATGATGTCCTACCCATGGTAACTAAGTCGTCATCATGTAATTAAAGTGATTAACAACAAGTACAAATTAGCCTTCCAGTTGAATTGATTATTAGATTTTTTTCATGTGTGGCAAAGCAAAATAGTTTATTGACAATGCTTGTAAAATGGCTAATATTAATTGAAGTATTAGTATTCACTAGCATTTTTAATGTAAATTTATATCACCTTAATGAAGATCTAACAGAATGTTTAAATATTTCATTCTGCAATATGTCTTGTAAAGCAACATCATACTCATGAATAAATGATTAAAAGATAGAATTTACATCAGGGCCAATACAAGTCAGTCATGAATAGGTTTGGTAATTCCTCCTATAAACAAACAAACAATAAACAAAACCATGCTCAGAGAAAGTGACTTTGCTGACTGAAAATACATTCAGAATAAATTGTCAGCAAAGAAGTATTTACTACCACCAGCCATTGAGACATTGAGAGAGATAGCAGATGTAATACTCAGGATTACATAAGAATCATTTTTCAATTGTGTAAGCTTTTAAACTGTCCCCTACTGTAGAAAGAACAGCAGCTTGTATTTTCTAAGTGTAGGTAGAACATTTAACAGGAGAAACAGAAAGGGAGTCCTCAGTTTTATGTGACATGTTTGGCCTTTTTGTCTTTTCATTGGACAATCTTCAGTAAATGTTGCCTATAGAAATTTTTCATTTTTGGAATAGTTAAAACTATGGATTTTTTTTTAGTTTAAATAGATTTCCTATAATATGATTCAGTAGAAAATATAAATTTAAGAAATACATTGATAATAAATTAGTAAAGTCTTTAAAATATAGTTCCCAGAATTAACATTAATCTTTTAACTTGGGAAGATGTATCATGATATGTATCAAAATGCCTATTTCTAAGAAGTTTATCATCAAAGAGTCAAGATGAACAAATTTGATGTGATGGAATATGGACAAATAAGATGCAAAAATATAAACTGATTGTTTTTCTTGTGCAGACAAGTGGATAGGCTGCCAGTTTTTGCAAGCTACAATTCTGTTATATCTAGTATTAACTTTTATACCATATTATTGGGCTCCTTGCGTTTTCATGGTTCACTATCAGTGTATTTTTCAATAGGTCACATTTTAATATTTCATAAGAGAGTTAATAATTTGATCAGAGAATGCCAAAATTCTCTGATACAGGTAAATGCTATGCATAATACTGTTATTGAGTTCATCTTTATTATGTCACTTTTAATCAAAGAAATAATTGTAACTGATTTTATGAGTGGTGTCATATGGTGTGAGAGTAAAATTGCTAGTATCTGTGTGTACATTAGCCTGAAAACTCCCACAGGATTTCCCTTTGGCTTTTCTTAACCTTTGAATTTAATGGAACCAGCTGAAAATGTACAATATTATGTTTTTGTACAAAGGCGGTATAGAGAGAGTTACTTGAAAATAGAATGTTCCTACTTGTGCAATTTAGTTAGTAAAGTCAGCTAAGAGAGCACACTAGAGATGCTACCTGAAGCAACAAATGCCTACTGCACCTCAGGTGCCTCAGTGAAAAGAAGAGCATATATACTGTCAGAGCAGGGATATTCAGTCCCACCAATACAATATGAACAACCTATTTATCTCTCTACACTCTGGAATTCAGTGAATATTTTAGAGATCTTCAAAAACTAGGAAAAAGATATTACAGATTAATCTTTTGCTGTCTTGAATTATGTCAGTAATGGCAAATGTTTAGTAATGAGTGAATTAAGATAATTAATATTATAAATGAATGTATAATCTTTCAATATAAGAGGCACTAGGTATATGTAATATAGCACTTCTGCACTGCTGCCTGACCACCAGCAGGGAAATCCAGGAGGCTCCCTGGAGGTAGCCTATTAGGATAATTCAGAAATTCTTTTCACAGTAATGATCTCAGCTGTATGGGAGAAAGGCAGGCATTTTTCTCATATTCTTCACTTTTAAGATGTCATTTGAAAATACAAGCCTATTGTTTCTTCCCAAGGAGAAGGAGAAAGTTTATCATATACAAAGCTTGAGTTAAATTATATAAAATATGTTCAGGAAAAAAAAATGTCCAGAGAGTTGCCCTTTTCCTCTCCTCTCCATTCTCCATTACTATTTCTGGAATTGACATGTTCTTAACTAGAGCCGGAAAGGAAGGGATCATTAGGATTAAAGAAGAGAAAAGGCAGAGAAAGAGAGACAAGGTAGAAGGGTGGTATGAGGTGTGGAATATTTTTTAGTTTATTTCCTACTGCCTTGTACCCCAATGGGATGATACTGAATTCCTCTCTCTTCTAACTGAATATCTGACTCCACACTAATATTAAGAAAATATACTGGCTTAGGGCAAGCCTCATGAATGAAATGATGAGATAATTATGCTTGTTGAAGCAATATATCTATCTTTTAATGCATTTTTAATTACAAGGTAAATTATGTAAATAAGTAAAAAATGTAGCAAAGATTAAAATGGCAAGATGCTATCCTGCTTTGTAAAGATTTTCAGTCAAGATTTGAGTTGAGTTGGCTATATCGCACAAATATTTCAAAGTTCATGAATAGTTATGCATTATAGTTAACTTTATCCCAGCTCAACAGGGTAATATTGGTGAGATTAATGCAGAATTTTAATATTCTTCGTTTTCTTGAAAAATACTATGGTCCTCAGGACAAAAACCAAGCAAGAGAGAATGAAGGGAGAAGAGTCCTGGTGGATTCATCTACTTCCCTCTGTTGATATCTGTTCTCTCCTTATCTTTCACCATGCTGCACTAATGAGGTTACAGGGAAGGCAAAAATAAGCTTCTTGATAATGGAACTCAGAGAAGAAAAAACAAATAAGCAAAGAACTATGTTGAAAAAGAAATACCAATGTACATGGAAAGCCCCTAGAAATTCAATCATGGGAGCTTGGCAGACAGGTTAGGTGTTTGAAGTCTCAATAAGGAAGGATGCGATTGCAGAAATAAAGGAGAATGGCTGCTTAAGCAGGACATGTTCTCCTAGAATGGCTGGCAAAGAGACAGTTAAGTAAAGGCAGAGATATGGCAGAAGATCAGTCCTAAAATATGTTAACATTATAAATGTAAATTTAAACATGGAATATATACTTACGCAGATAGAAGTTGAGATAGAGAGTGTTAATTAGTGTATCTGTATTGGGTATTGTAACCAATTAAATTCAGATTTATCATAGTTCAGAGAGCTCAGGATTTGAAATCAGAGGCCTCTATTCCAGTTATAGTACTCCCACTTATAATAATGGTAATTAATTGTCTGCATCCCAGTTTCCTCTGTTTGAAAATAGGGGTGGTAATTGTTTTACTGGGTTTTTGAGATAATCAAGTGGAACAATAGTATCTGTGAATGTACTTTATCACCTAAAAACTATATTATTGATGTTTTCTGAAGACTGATACAAAGTGAGAATATTGGAAGGAAACATGTCCTGTAGAGAAAAACCTTGAAAATGGTATGAGCTTAGATTTCAACAAGTGCTAGGATAATGCTAATATGGAAGACAGCATAAAGTTGCTTTTAAATGGCAGAAAAACATATGATTTAACTTGATAGATTGCATTCACTCCAAATCTCATCTTCCATACCTTTTGACCCCTAGTTATAACAACTCACAAGATGACTACTTTGTGCATTTTCCAAGATTCATGGCCCATATATATATATTTTTTGCTGTAGTATACATATAACCATTTGTTATATATATTCAGTCTACAACACATATTTTAGAACTCATTCTACTGACAAGAAAAAAATTGACAGAGAATTATAAAAGAGCACAATGTTGAGTAAATATTTGAATGATCGCCCTGGAGGCCATGGTATTTATTTTATATCCAAGGCAAATAAAAAATGAGGCAGTGACTGAGCCAGTTTTTCCTGACCCAGCTCATAGCTGGTTCCTCATCCAATAGCCTGGTATTATCAATAGTGACATTAGTTACACATCTCTGTGTGTCAATAAATAAAAACTGGTCATAAGACATGATTCATAAGCAGAGTGATTAAATAAGACCCAGGAGTAAACCCTAGTCTATGTGCCCAGAGCTCCATCAGGGAGGGTCAGTGAGACTTAAGTGGTGGATTTATTGAGAAACAGTTTATATTATAAAAACTATCACTGGATAAGTTGCGAGGAGTTACAATGTGTTTTGTTGAGTCTGGTTTATACAAAATATGCTTTCTGTGGAGAGAGTCTTCATAAGAATTGTAGATAGTGCTGTTATTTGTGTTTTTATATTTGCTACAGACAAATATTGTCCATGTATCACATCAGTGCATCTGGATATATAGAAGTCACTGAATGGTTCTGTGAACTGTTAAATTCTTATCTGGATGTTGCATTTTACAGGGGGGAAACAGTTATCTTTTAGTATAGAAATAGGGTGAGGGGAGGTCAGGATTAAAAAAAACAGTCACTAGAATTTATATATGAACTGGGCCAATTTTGGAGTGGAAAATTTGCGTGTATCGAA